AGATAGCCCAGTGTTCAACAATGGCAGCTATCTTCGTCACTGATGTTACTGACAGAGCATTTTCCCCTCCACAGTTCCAGGAATGTAAACTGCCTGTTTTAAACTAGCTAACAATTTAGCAACCAAAACTTTTCAAATAATAGAAAGCTAGAGTTGGGTCACACACAGTAGCTCATGCCTGTAATCCCAGTACTTTGGGAGGCTGAGGCAGGTGGATCACCTGAAGTCAGGAGTTAGAGACCAGCCTGGCCAACATGGTGAAACCCTGTGTCTACTAAAAATACAAAAATTAGCCAGGCGTGGTGGTACGCACCTGTGATTCTAGCTACTAAGGGGGCTGAGGAAGGAGAATCGCTTGAACCCGGGGAGCTGAGGTTGCAGTGAGCCAAGATTACGCCACTGCGTTCCAGCCTGGGTGACAAAGCAAGACCTTGTCTCAAAAAATAAGATAAAATAAAATAAATATTAAAAAATAAAATTGTACTACTACTTGGCAGACAAACTACATTGATCCTCCCAGCTCTACCAATCCCTGGGTATTCCTCCCTGAAGCACAGCATGAAAACCCACTGGTGAATCTCTTCCAGGGGGAACCATGAGACAGGGTCTTACTCTGTCACCCAGACCGGAGGGCAGTGGCTCGATTGCAGCTCATGTAGCCTCTACCTCCTGGGATCAAGCGATCCTCCCACCTCAACCACCTGTGTAGCTGGGACTACAGTTGTGTGCCACTATGGCTAGCTATTTTTTTTTTTTTTTTAATTTTCTGTGTAGATGGGAATCTCATGATTTGCCCAGGCTGGTCTCAAACTCCTAGGCTCAAGTGATCCTCCTGCCTTGGCCTCCCAAAGTGCTGAGATTACAGGCATAAGCTACTGCATTCGACCTGAGGCTACCTTTTAGAGCACACATCTAGCCTATGATGTGTATTGTGGTGGGGGCAGGGTTGGGGGTGTCTCTCCCTGTGGAAGACCCTGAGACATGTCTGTGGGGAAGGGACCTATGTCTATGAAGGCGGGTGTGTCTGCGTGGGGGTCTATTCCTGTGAGCGTACTGTGTGTCTGGGGGGAGAGGGGATGGCAGCAGGTTCAACGTGCTAAGGGGGCTGGATGTCACTCCAGGACTCTGTGTCAGGGCATGTGTGTCTCCTTTCTACCTTCTGCTTTTTCTTGCTCCCTCTCTCCCTTCCACCTTCCTCGGGTGTGTGTTTTGTTCCTTCTCCTCCCCTCTAGTTCCCCTCGTCTCCTTCCTCCTCTCTGAGCGTCAGTGTCTGCCTCTGCCCAGTCCCTCAAGCTTTCATTTGAACAACAAACACTACCGGATAGTAAACAGGGTCCTTTCGGTCCTTTCCTTGAAGATATATGGCAGTGAGAAGAAACCAAGAGCGTTAGCTCAGAAGCTCAAGCACAGGGAGTTGAAGGAAAGGTCAAATCTGAGGAATGGGGCACCTAAGCACATGTGCAGGAGAGGAGAGAGGCAGCAGAAAGGGGTGTTTAATGGTACCCAAGAGAACAGAGATCTAGATGGGTCCCAGAGAATCCTCAGGAGACAGCACCCAGGCCCAGGTGAAGTCAATGGCTTTGGACAGACTGCTCTTCCTCCCTCAGGAATGGTAGGAGAGAAGAAGCAAGCAGGCAGCAAGTAACCAGCCTTGGATGAGAAGGAGGGCAGCTGTGGGAGCACAGACCCTATGTCCCCCTCTTCTCACCAGACGTAACAATGCATTCCCATCCCTGAGCCTGCTGTATGGTGGGGAGAGTAAGGGCTCAGGGGTGACTGCAGAGGAGGAGGGCAAGCTGAGGTTAGGCAGCACCACTCTCTAGCAGGTCCTCTCTGCAAAGGCTCTCAGACTTTCACCAGCAGTATCTTCCAGACAAGGAATAGATAAGAAAATGGTAGGGGTGCCTAGGGTCAGTGGCAAGGCCAGGGAAGCAAGAGCCTGCAAGGAACTGGTGAAAAACCCAGGAGCAGTTCTGGCCTATGTGCCTGTGTCTTCGACACCCAATTGTTTGAGTCCTTTCTGCTGGAAACTGACTCTCATTCCTGTCTCCCAGCACTTAGTGCAGTGCCTGAGACATGGCCAGCATCGGGAAACATCTGCTCTACCGAAAAAGCTCATGACACCAGGCACAGTGGCTCATGCCTGTAATCGCAGCACTTTGGGAGGCTGAGACGGGTGAATCACAAGGTCAGGAGATCAAGACCATGCTGGCTAACACAGGGAAATCCTGTCTCTACTAAAATTATAAAAAATTAGCCGGGAGTGGTCACACACGCCTGTAATCCCAGGTACTCGGGAGGCTGAGGCAGGAGAATCGCTTGCACCTGGGAGGTGGAGGTTGCAGTGAGCCAAGATTGCGCCACTGCACTCCAACGTGGGTGACAGAGCGACACTCTGTCTCAAAAAAAGAAAAAAAAGAAAGAAAGAAAAAGCTCACGAAGCCCCAAAGCAAGGAGGCCAGCAGGAAACCAGAGGGGGCTGAGTGAGCTTCAGACGGTTAATGACACAGGTGTCACCCTGCTGGGTGGCTGACATCGCTTTTCAGTCTATAAAGTGCATTAGCACATACGTTATTTTATTTCATCCTAGAAACAGTTTAAAGAACAAGTTGCAGTATTTTCAGCCCTCAACAGAGAAGAGATTCAGAGAAGCAAAGGCGCTTGCTCTAAGCTACACAGTCAGGCAGTAATGGAGCGGAGACAGGAACTCAGGTGTCCTCCTCTTAGCCCCGTCCTATTCTTGTTTGTGCTACTCCATGGCATCTCTGAGGGAGTAATCTCACTATCAATGACAAAATAGTGCAAATGCGATCTCAGTGGGAATAACAGGAGGCCAGTAGTGTGGATTCTGAAGCCACTGAAGACAGCAGAGAATAAGATGGGAAGGGGATGTGGACATCTCAACCAACAGATGATGAAGATCCCAGAGACAAGCAGATGACAGTGACACGGCAGGGAGGAAGGTTCCTAGGGGCTGTGCTAGCAGCCAGATGACAGGGCGGAGCTCACACCAGACCATGGCGGCATCTAACAATCTTCCCTCTGGAGTCCGGGAGCAGAAGGAGCAGCCTCACTAGGGCAGAGTCCAGCATTCCCTAGAGTCTCCAATGGAAGGAGAGAGGCTGGAGACCTGGATACAGGGGAGGGGTCTGGGATGGGCTCCAGGGTTTGAAAACACTCCCTGAGGAACACAGCAAACGCGAACATTTAATGTCACATGGTGAATCTGTTATAAGGGGTTTACATCCTTATTCTTTCCTATCTGCAAACATTACTTTATTTCCTACCCACTCAAGAAGGGATGAACACAAAAATCTAGACCAGCAGTACCTGGACGTCATCATTAACTGAAAATAGTTTCCAAAATAAACCAAAGTATGAAGAGACATAGTGAAAAAATGTGGGGTTCAACCACCGATGAATCAAGAAGAAATTCAAAATTAGCCAGGATTCCATATTCCACATGGTAGAAAACATATCGCCCCTTAATCTCACAAGAGGTGGGAGAAAGGCATGAATAAGATGACTACCTTGATAAGAAAGATGTATCATAAAGAAAGAATCAGGCCCATTCACTGACTGCTATGCACGAGAGAGGGCCACTGATTTTCACATCATGGCCCTGAGTTATGTCCTTGTTATCTCCATGGCTTCTTGGGAAGAGGGTGAGCCCAGCACGTTCCAATCAGGAGTGACTGTGGAATGCCTTTAAGCTCCTTGGACAATCTGGCTACCTGAGTGAACCTTTCCAGTGAGATGACGGCAAAATGGGCTGGAGATCCCAGCAAAAGTATGACTGACCTGGACTCAATCACTCTGAACCAGTGGTCAGTGTCCTATGTCACCTGTCCTTAAGCAACAGGGCTATGACCCTCAAATGGGTTCCCTTCTCCTGAAGCTCTCAATATTTGGCATGCAGTTAGTGCCTTTCCCTCTCTGTGTACCATGCCCCCTTATGGACTTCTGTTAACTTGAACTGTTTGGAGACAATGTCTTTAACTGCATTACACTAGAGAAAGAAATTATTCATGAGGAAAAGGGAACCAAATCGGTCACAAAGACAGTCTGTTTTGGTAATCTATTGAAGACAGATAGTGAGGACAATGATATGTCTGTGGGAACATTTTCTGAGCACCCACCATGAGCCAGCTTTTCTACATGGGGTCCTTTCATATGTTATCTCGTTTCATCTTCATGATTATGTATTGAACAACTTCCTTTTACAGATGAGTAAAGAAAGTCTTAAAGCCAAGTGACTTGCCCAAGATGGCAGGGCTGTCACCAAAACCTTTGTTTCTTCCTTCTACTAAAGTCCGTTTCACTGAACGGTGAAATTCTCCTCAAAGAACTTCAGACGGTTTAGTGCCGTCTGGCTTGTGCTCCCAAACCACAGTGAGCACGAATCTTAAGGAATGTGCCAGGGCATGGCTGAAACTTGAAGGCCTTGGAGATCTCAATTGTTTCTGTCCCCAGTTTACAATTTGTTTTAGGAAAAAACAAACAAACAAACAAACATGCAACCTCTTGGTGCATTGTTTCTCCCAAACTGAGAAATGGGAAAAATGACTACCCACTCTCTTGTACTCTGTCATGACATATAAGAAAACTGGAAATGAAAGGGCCATGTAATCAGGTAGTCTTAAATCCATGCCACTTTGAAGTTAGTATTTTTATTATTATTATTATTTCTGAGACAGAGTCTCACTCTGTTGCCCAGGATGGAGTGCAGTGGCACAATTAGAGCTCACTATAGCCTCGACCTCTCTGGCTCAAATGATCCTCCCAACTCAGCCTCCTGAGTAGCTGGGACTACAGGTATGTGCCACAATGCCTGACTTTTTTTTTTTTTTGGTACAGATGGATTCTCACTACTTTGTCCAGGCTGGATAAAGTTAGTATTTTTAATGTAGAGCCACCAACTGCATTAACAGGTGACACACCTAACATGCCCAGTCAGTTCAGGGCAAAGGAGAAGCAGAGGACAGGGCCAGCCACCTTACCAGCAGTAGTCCAGCAGATGTGGCGGCAGCACGGGGATGTACACGTGCTGCCAGTACATGGGGTAGAGCATCGCCGCAGACCCGTGGATGCAGGCAGTCAGCTGGAACAGAGCAAAGCAGAGATCAATGAACAAATCCAAGGGAGGAGACACCGCCATTTGATTTCAGCAACACAATTCTATAATTCTTCAACATGTTTACATGATAAGTTGAAAAGCCTGGAGAAATCATTCTAAGTTAATTCAATCACCCTAATTCAAATTTAGTAAGAGCTTTCTTTTCAAAAAATCTTTTTTTCTGATTATAAAGCTAATATAAGAAATAGAAAATTTTTAAAATGGAGAAAGGGATTAAAATAAATGCCACCACCATTGGAAGATTTAACATTGTAGGTTCTTACACACACAAGCACATATATTCCCTTTTTAAATACAATTAGGATGACTATAAATACAGTATTCTTTTGTGTTTCTTAAAAGTGAACATTATCTGATGCCATTTTCCTTTAAATATTCTTAGAAAAAGGTATCTCTTAATGATGCTTTAAAGGCACAAATCCAGAATATTCTTTAAATATTCTTAGAAAAAATACCTTTTAACGATACTTGAATTTCCCATGCTATTAATACATTTAACTACTCTACTACCATTAAGTAATATAATCATACAGGTCAATAATTTATATCTATAGTTCCTAAATGCAGAATTCAGAGACAAAGGTTATAAATATTTCAAGGCACTTAATAAATACATATATCATAAATATGTTAGTATAATGAATAGAGGAAGGATGGAGACTCTTTATACCCCCCAGCCCCAGCCATCCACCACAATTCTGGCCTCCCTTCCCCTCACCAGCACTACTCCTTGTAGTCAAGTTAGTAGCTTTAAAATTGTATCTATTTTACTCTTATTTTGATTCTGATCAGGACTAAGGTTGAACATTTTGTCATATGTTTCTTGACTGTACTTATGTAATAGACAAATGGTCTATTCATATTCTTAGCCCACTTTAAAAATGAGTGTTAGTAATTTTTACTGGTTTATAAGCAATCACTGATGATATGCAAAGAATATCCAGCCTTTGTAATGTTTTGAAAATAATTTATACTTAATTTTCTTTGAATTTCTGGGCAAAGAGAAGGTCTACATAATTACATAGACAAATATTTTCTTCCATGATGGTTTCTACCACTTTTATCCCAAGAAAGTCCTCTAAATTTTCCCTTAGCATTTAACTCTTCAGTCCATCTGGAATTACTTTAGGTTTAAGGACTGAGGTGAGAATTTATTTTTTCCACATAGGTAATCAATTGCTATGGCACTGTTTACTGACTAATCCTTCCTCTCCACAGTCTTTTGACTTACCCGTATTTTGTATTTTTTTTTTCTTAAGAGCTAGAGACATCATATAATCAGTATTTTATGCTATTAAAAATTTAGGAAACAAAGATAATATAAAGGGATACAATTGCTACAAAATTCAATGTAGTGAAAAGAAAGGGGGAAAAAAGCAACCTTTGGAGACATAGCTATGAAGTGACAAAGCCAACAACACATGTTTCTTTCTGTCTTTTTTTCTTTAATGTTTCTTTGGTTTCAGGGAAGCCTGTTCCCATGAGGACTTTGCTTCTTTTGGAAGCTGTTAACTGGCCTTTGCTGACAGAAGGACATTTACGTGGCAAAAGAGTGACGTGCCAAGGCCCAGTTAAAAGCATCCCAGAGGTTAGTGTAACATGAACAGCTTTAAATTGGGTATTCTGCTGATGTTTCCCAGTTGTGAGAACTGTGTGTTAAAGCCAGGGCTGCCACTCCCACCCCCGCCTGCCCTGACTCTTTCCTCCAGACCCCGTTCTTGAAGCCAGGTCCATGCCATGAACCGGATCTCATTCAGCAGGCCCCCAAGAACTGTTCCCAGTGACCCCGTCAAGGTTGGCAGGTTTAACCCATCCCTTCACATTCTATTTCCATAGGTACCCATATAAAGGAGGCTGATATATGTACACACATATATATATAATATCAAAACATTAATTTTATATATATCATTAGTTATATATATAAAATATATATTTATATATTTCACATATAAGTATATTCTGTATTTTACATATACACACACACACACACACAACTAATCCCTTCAGGGCTTCTTAGAGATGAAAACTCCTTGCTGGTGTTGAGTGAGTGGAGAATGAACCAACTCTGACCTGATTCCACCCTGAAGTCAGCCTGGAGGGTTCCACTGGCCTCGGGTCTCAGCTCTTTCTGCACATCTTTAACTAGCTGCCAGAGCGCTCCTCCTCAAGTCCAGGTTCCGGCCCATCACTTCCTACTCGGAAGTCTTTGGGGGCATGCCTAGCCCCGGATGGCTCCACCAGCCCACAGTCTAGCTTTACAGCAGCCATCTGTAGTCACACTCTGTACCGTCTTCTCCAAGTCTGTCCTTGGAATACATCACTTAGATAGAGTCATATACTCCTTTTCCTCCCCTCCCTTTCCACCCATCCCCCAAACTGGCCTGGATTTGTGCCTCTAGCAAACTCCTCCCTCAGGTCTCTGTGTAAGTACTTCCTCTTCAAAGTCTTCCCTGGCTCCTTGTGAATAGGCACCAATTATTATTATTATTATTATTATTATTATTATTATTGAGACAGGGTCTCACTCTGTCACCCAGGCTGGAGTATAGTGGCACGATTTCAGCTCATTACAGCCTCCGCCTCCCGGTTCAAGCAATTCTCTTGTCTCAGCCTTTTGAGTAGCTGTGACTACAGGTGTGTGCCACCACGCCTGGCTAATTTTTGTATATTTTGTAGAGACAGGTTTTCGCCATGTTGGCCAGGCTGGTCTCAAACTCCTGACCTCAAGTGACCCACCCACCTTGGCCTCCCAAAATCTTGGGATTACAGGCATGAGCCACTGCATCCAACCCACAGGCACTCATTATTAACTGGACCATAACTGACTGCATGTTTGTCTCCTGACTGTAAAGTACAGGAAGATCCTGTCTTCACCTCCATGTTCTCAGTGGCCCAGAATACACAACACACACACATGCACTAGTTAATGGGATGTGTCCTGAATAAAGAAATTATTTTTTCTTAGAATATACTCATAATACAAAGACAGTTTAGTAGTTTGGCTTTTATCAGTAGCATACCAACATTCCCGTGAGTCTCACAGAATAAGGTACATGACTCAAAGTCTAAAACAGGCTGGGCACGGTGGCTCACGCCTGTGATGCCAGCTCTTTGGGAGGTTGAGGTGGGCAGATCACTTGAGGTCTGGAGTTCAAGACCAGCCTGGTCAACATGGCGAAACCCCGTCTCTACTAAAAATACAGAAAAATAGCCAGGCGTGGTGGCACATGCCTATAGTCCCAGCTACTCGGGAGGCTGAGGCAGGAGAATTGCTTGAACCCAGGAGGTGGAGGTTGCCAGTGAGTTGAGATCGCACCACTACACTCCAGCCTGGGCAACAGAGCTAGACTCTGTCCCCCAAAAAAGAGAGACAGAAAAAAATGTCTAAAACAAAAACAGCAAGCTTAGAAACACAAGCATGGCACTTTTGGAAAACCAAGTCATTCATTCATCCATTCGCCCATTCAATCGTGTGCCTCCTTTCTAACTCCACAACATATAAATAAATAAATAAAAGCACCTCAAAATCTATAAGGTCCCATACAAATGAAGGTAACATCATCACATGAATTAATTTGTGATTCTCTTTGAAAAAGTCATTTAATAGAATGAACCTGGTTAAGCCAGAACTTGATTATGTGACTCTTTTTAGGTTAAACTGGTTTGGGTCAAAAGCCTATTTCAACTGATAAAGTAGCAGAGATCTCATCTTCAGATAATGTTCTTTTCATGTCTTTTTAACCTCAAAAGCAAACCTACCAACCTCAATGCCAAGACTTTAAAATTACTTATCCTTCTTAAAAAAAAAAAAAAAAAAAATCAAACTTTTAAGGTGCTTGATCATTTCATTAGTAGGTTTTCTAAGGGCCAAATCTCTGCAATTGGGGTAAAATGCATTACTCATTTGATTAAGAAACAAACAAAACAGGGAATTATATGGCTCTTTTCCAAAATACTAAATGACATAAACTATATGCATCATTACTTAAGGACAGTCAGTTGATTATAAGAAAAGTCTTACCATATATCTATACTCAATCAGAAACAGTGCACTCTGTTCTGTAAAGTATCGCTTGCCGCTTATTTTCAAAATAATTCTAAACCCTGTTTCTAAAAATAAAAGTCCTAAAGGCCTATGTTCATTCCTTACAGAATACAAGCTTTAAAAGTAAGGAAAGTATGTAATTTGGTGTGTAGTCAACAAAGGTGTATTGTGAATATATAATTGCAGTGCAAGTTGAAGAAAATGATTCTATCAAAATCTCACTCAGTGGGAGAATGGAAAGATAGTATGTGTAAAATTTGCCCAAAGTCATTAGTCACAATGAATATTCATCAGAAGCCAATTATCAATCTCATTTAATGACACCCCAAAAGATTTTGCCCTGAAGCAGCTGAATAGTCTAAGACTCCAGACAAAACTAGACAAATTATACAGCCAACAGCCAGTCTAGCCAGGACACAGACTGTAAAGTAAACCACTGGTGGATTTTGGGATGCACTTCAGCAAATTCTGTCCTCAATTAAAGGTGCACAAGGTCATTTATATCTCAGAGCTTTCTATATGGCTCTGTTAGTTTTCTTTGAGGCAAAGGGAGATGAGGAGAAGGCAGTGGGGGTAGAACATGAATGGAGAATGATCAGTGATGGAGTTGGGCAAATCACAAGGACACCTTTTTTTTTTTTCAGTCATTTCTCAGAGATAAAGCCCAGATTGTCACAGTCTTAGATTCCAATGCCTCTGCAGAATCCTAATAGCAGCTCTGCAACTTAACATGAAATAAAAATAAGAATGCCCCCTCAAAAGACAAAACCACAATATGTGTAGGTACCAGGTTGGGGTTTAGACCCTTGCAAAGTATTGTTTTAAAGGAAAGTGTGTGTGTGTGTGTGTGTGTGTGTGTTGATACACAAATACACTCATCACCACATTTCACAGATAAGGAAACAGTTTCAGAGGT